TACGGTTCAACTGCTGTTCCCTGTTGCTCTTGGCTCCTCCTGCTTGGGAAGGTGCTGCAGGTCGGGAGCAGCAGGGAACAGCTGTGTCACTGCCCTGTCTCCTGGTCAGTTTGAAGGTGTCCCCACCTACCCGGACGTCGGGCGAATGTGGAGCATTGTTGACAAGTACAAGGTGACCAAGCTCTACACAGCACCCACAGCCATCCGGCTGCTGATGAAGCACGGGGAGGAGCCTGTCAAAAAGTGAGCGTGGTGGTGGTGAAAAACATGTCAGAAAGTGACAAAAGTGGCCTCCAGTGGTGTGGGGGGGGCCCCTGGCCCTGGCACAGCCAGAGGCTTCCGATGAGGGAGCAGAGGCCCCAGCTTCCTCTCTGAGCAGCAGCTTCCTCAGCAGATTTTCTGAACAAACCAGAATCTTCTGCCTTCTACACAGCAGCGTGCAGGCCATGTTTCTGCACTCTCAGCACGAACTTCCTTATGGTGCTTCTGAGCAGCTCCTCCTCTTTCACCGTAAGCTGCAGCTAAGCTCAGAGATTGCAGGTTCTCCCTGCTCCTGAGTGCTGGGCAGAGAGCCCCTCCGTGTGCTGCTCCTTGGCCCGAGGAAGGGAAGGAGCGGAGCCCAGTGGGAGGCACCAAAACCAGAGATCTCCTCTCTTCCCCCGTGGAGGAGGGCTGAGAACCATGCCTGGAAGCCCCACGTACACTCTGGGTAGCCCAGGGGTTCCTGCAGGCTCTGCTGTGCAGCAGGCTCAGAGCTGCTGAGGTCCGTGGCCTGCTGAGCCCCTGCCAGCCCCCTCCTCTCTGCAGGCACAGCAGGAGGTCTCTGAAGGTGCTGGGGACCGTCGGTGAGCCCATCAACCCTGAAGCCTGGCTGTGGTACTACCGTGTGGTTGGAGAAGAGAGGTGTCCTATTGTGGACACGTTCTGGCAGACAGAGACAGTGAGTCCTCGCCTGGGTGTCCCTGGGACCTCTCTCCCTTGCGCTCCCCGCAGGGTCTCGGCAGGTTTGCCGTAGTGTTTCTCTGGTTTTATGTGGACTTGTTGCTTTGCTTGCCCAGGAGACTCCCATGTGACCTGCCAGTTCACTCCCCTTCTCTTTCTTTCCTGGACCTCAAACAGGCTCCGAGGGGAGGCCTTCCTCCCCCCAGGGTCCCTGCCAAGGTCTGCTCTGGACCCTGCTCTCCTTCCCCTCTTTTTCCCCCAGCAGCTCCAAAGCTTTGTGCCCAAACACGGGCTCCCTGTCCCCTGCTGTATTCTTCCCAAGGTCCTGTCTCTGCAGCTGCGCTGAGCAGCCTGGGTCTGACTGGGATGTGGTGGGACCAGAGCCCGTGCAAACAGCTGTCGGATGGGCTGGCACGGCCCAAACTCACTCGTTTTTGCCTCTCTTTGCAGGGTGGCCACATGCTGACACCCCTCCCTGCTGCCACCCCCATGAAGCCAGGCTCTGCCGTGAGTAGTTCTGCTCCCCTCCCCAGGGGCAGGGAGGGCTCCCCGGGGGCGGCAGCAGCAGCTGGCACGGTCGCTGCCGTGGCCTGGTGGTGACCAGCCTGCCAGCGTGGCCTGGGACGGTGTGGGGAGGTGGCCACCACCCAAAGTCCCAGGCCTGGCCCTGTCTCCCACAGCCTCTCCAAAGCTGCCCCTGCTCTGCTGCCCGCTCCCTCTGGTTCACGGGGTTTTAATGCGTGGGCTCACCTCCGTGTCTCCTTGCTCTCTGGTCCCCATGGCAGACGTTCCCCTTCTTCGGTGTGGTCCCTGCCATCTTGAACGAGTCGGGGGAAGAGCTGGAAGGAGAAGCAGAAGGCTACCTGGTAAGGAAGGGCTGATCTTCCCCACCTTCTGCTTGTCTGTTCACCGTGAGCTCCGGGACCTTCCTGGTAGCAAACACACATCTCCACCTGTTCTAGGTCCACACAGGGGACCCCCTTGGGTGGTAGGAACTCCTGTCACTGCCATAACTCACAGGGAGCTTTATGCTGTAAACGAACTCTTCAGCTGATGGGCGAATGCGCTTGCACATGTGGGCAAGGCAGGAGGACGAGAACAGCTTTTCAACCAGGCCCCTTCTCCCATGCCAAGCCTGGCGAGACTTTCTCAGTCGATCAGCACTGGGCAGCAAGTGTCCGAGTGTCATCACTTGTGGCTGTCTCGCCGACGTCTCTGTCACCGCATGCAAAGACTGCGCGCGTCTGTCGCCGTGGGGCAGAGCCCGGGCTGCTGGTTTTGCCCTCACTGACTCAAGTCTGCGTTTTTCACCATCAGGTATTTAAGCAGCCCTGGCCAGGAATAATGCGCACGCTGTATGGAAACCACCAGCAATTTGAAACCACATACTTCAAGAAGTTCCCTGGGTACTACGTGACAGGCGACGGTAAGGTTGTCCAGGCAGTGTGTGGCTGCAGAGGCCTTGGGGACAGCAATGTAAATCTGGCCGTATCCTGGCCTCAGAATCCTTTATCAGTTGCTCCGAGGGCTGGTGCTGCTTCCTCACGCTGTCATTTCTGGCTATTTTTAGGTTGCCGGAGAGATAAAGATGGTTATTACTGGATCACAGGGCGCATTGATGACATGTTGAATGTTTCTGGTAAGAAGGAGTTTTGCCTTCGGTGGGGAGGGGTGTGCTTTCGGGCACTGGCTGAGAGAGGCACCTTGCTTTATGGGGGATGGTTCTGCGCCCGTGACTCTGCCCAGCAGCCTCTGCTCAGAGTGGATCTAATTGCTGGGTCAGGATTATTTCCAAGACAGACCAGTCTGTCACTTGGTGACTTCCTGCGTCGATTCCTCTGGAGATGAGGTACTGGAGGGAAGGAGGCTTCTGCAACCTCTTGGAGGAGGTCCTTAACCAGCCAAGGTGCCTCTGTGCTGAGGGGTTTAGGGCCACAGGGAATCGCAGCGGTTGGGTGGGACCATGTGGTCCCTAATCCAAGCTGCTGTTCCACGTGGGGCTGCCCTCAAAGCTGGATGGGGCTGTTCAGAGCGGTGTCTACAGAGGTGAAGATTCTCCCACCTTGCTCTACTGAGTCTTTGAGACTCGGCTCCTTCTCGGCTTCTTTCTTACTACATTGAATAGCTCCCTGCCTCCTTTCCTGGAGGCTGTAGCCTACAGGTACCTAGTGCTGGCTGTGAGATGCTGCTCTGCTTGCCTCTGGGTCAGACTAGATCCTTTCGTTGCCCAGCAGTGCTTGATCCTCCACCAGCTGACCGTTCTGGGAGCTGACCACCTTCCCGTGGTTATCTGTGACAGCAGTCCCGAGGTGGCATGTCAGAGCGCGGGTACAGGAGCGTGGTGTGCGCCTGCCCCGAGACGTGGAGCATCGTTTCATCTCCCCACGGCCATGAGCTGGAGCAGTGCCTGGCAGGGCCAGCTCCTGGGCTCTGCGGGTCCAGCCTCTTCCTCCTCTGCCCCTTCCAGCTGACCCTGTGGGCAGGTCTCCTCTTGCCAAGTCCAGCTCCTGCTCAGCCTGTGCTTCATTAAATCCCATGGCTGTGAACAGTTCATGCTCTGTTAAAGAAAGAAGCCTAAAGGTGGGAGGGAGAGCAGCCAGGGGAGGTGGCCTCACTCTGCAGGTGAGCGATGCTGGGCCCAGCCCCCGCGCTGCTGAAACGGGCTTCTCTCTCCAGCTGCTGTCTGTTCTCAAGCAAATGAAATCGATGCTCTCAAACCTGTGGTTTAGGGCCTTTCACGCCTGCAGACCTCTTCCTCCCAACTGCTGGGAGGCTGCGGGCGCCCAGCCCCGGGCTGGTCTGTAAAGCACGGCTTCTCCTTGCTTCCAGGCCACCTGCTGAGCACCGCAGAGGTGGAGTCAGCCTTGCTTGAGCACGCTGCCATCTCGGAGGCCGCGGTGGTCAGCCACCCGCACCCTGTGAAAGGCGAGTGCCTCTACTGCTTTGTGACCGTGAAAGATGGCCACGAGTGCACCAAGAACCTGACGGATGAGCTGAAAAAACAAGGTAGCAACAGCCAAATATTTGGGAGGTTACGTGGCAGAGAGGGAGGACAGTGCTGGGCAGGTGACGGAGGGGTTAAGGGCCTGGGTGCTTGAACGAGGGTGGAGTTTGGGGAATGCAGCGTGGACAACTGGGACAAGGTGCCCCCTCTGATCAGAAGGCGTGGCTGGCGAAGACTAAAATTAGTTCTCTTGGCCTTTGGCTGCTCATGTGATGCCACCTCTACCTCTGGGAGTTGGCAGCTGCGAGAAGGACTGGAGAACCCGGCAAGCTTTGGTTTGTGGCAGTGCCCTCCTGTGTGGGCATGGCTCTCCCTGCCAGATTTTGAACTGCTGCAAGGAGCCTTCGGTTGCTCTGGGCGTTTGTGCTCGGTCTCAAGGGAGCTGTTTCATTGCTGTGACAGACTGCAGCATTTAATACATGATACAGACCCATGGCAGTTTCTTCTCTGTAGGAACCCAACAGTGAACCAGTCCTTGCTCTACCAAAACAGGAATAGTGGTTGGTGTAGCTGTTAGAGTTTTCTTGAAGGTGGAGAGAATGAGACGATGAGCGCTCTTGCCGTTGGGAAGACGTGCTCCCAGCCCCCTTGGCATGGCAGGCCTTGCTGCCCCCTCCCACAGCCCCGAGGCTCGGGTGGGTGCAGCAGCAGAGCACTGCCCTGCCAGCTGCCCCAGGAGCTGGGCTCCGCCTGTCTAAACTTGGTCCTCCTGCCTGAAGAGGATGTGTGGGGTATCTCCTAGTACCTACAGTGAAAATCTTTTCTTTTTTTTACAGTCAGAGAAAAAATTGGACCGATAGCGACACCTGATTACATCCAGTATGCCCCAAGCCTGCCCAAAACCCGCTCAGGTAAGGGGGGGCCCAGTGACAGTGCTGGGGAGGACGGGGTAGTTGCTGCCAGTGGAAAGAAATGGGCCCTAAATTGCTTGTCCAGGGTCACTCAAATTCAGGGGGGAGCAGCATCAGGGCAAGCAGGGTGCCACAGGTCTGGGCACTCCCCAGTCCTGCTGAGGACGCTGAAGAGATCCTGACTCCTGCTTTCCTTTCATGGCTGTCGTTACAGGAAAGATTACCAGACGGATATTAAGGAAGATTGCCAAAAATGACCAAGATCTGGGGGACATCTCCACCTTGGCAAACCCGGGCGTCATAAAACATCTTTTCAACAGCAGATGTGACACTAGACAGTAGCAGCAGGAGCTGTCCCTGCCGAGCAGAACTGTAGCAGCAGCAGTTACCTGATGAGCAGGTCCCTTGACTGACGGCTGTCTGCCCCGGGAAGGAAACCTTCCCCCGTTGAATTGAATGTTGGAGCGAGGGCAAGGCTGGCTCTGGAAGGGCTGTGTCTCGCTAGCGTGCCGTGCCTCGGGGGAGCACGTGCCTCGTGTTCCAGATGGGTATCGTGCAGCTGAGGTTCAGCCTTGTGCACAGAGGGGCTCGTCCTCCCTTTTCAGCACCTCGTTCTTGATTTTTAATTTTATTTTGGGGATGGGGGGTGTTAATTAACTTCTGTGTAATTTATGTGGCACCTTGTGCACAGTGGGAAGGAACTTTGGGGGGCTGGAGGGGGAAGTGGTGCTGGAGTTACTCAACGCAGGCAGGCAAGGGAGGTTCATGTGCCACTGCCCAGGCGCCAGCTGCGCTTCCTTTTCCACTTGGAGTGTCGCAGGCTGCGGGCGAAGGGAAAACACTCTCGCATCAGAACTGCGCAGCTGCGCTGTCGTCTTGCATCCACTGTCTGAGCCTGTTGCTAGCAGAGGTCCCCTGGCCTGAAAGGGAGCGGGGCAGGGCTCACGGGAGCGCTGTGCTTCGGACAGATTTTTTTAGAGCAATTTGGTACCACAGCGTGCTGCGTCCGGACTGCTTGGTGCCACTCGCTGCGTTTCTCCCAGTCCAGGGTCCTTTGCTGGCCATGGGCGAGACAGAGCCACGCGTGATCTAGGAGGAAACGTCTTGTTCTGCTGTGCTGCCACCTGTGCTGGTTAATGCTGGCCGAGGCTGTGCCGCTGGAGAGGTCCCTCCTGTGCCCTGGGGTAGCCGTGGGTGCTGCAGGGAAACAAAGCCAGGCAGAGGCCCCAGCAGCAACCCAGGCGCTGGGTTCCAGCACACCACCACTGCTGCAGCAGAGAAGCAGAGGCAGGCAGGGCTGCATTAGTCCTAGATGATGTTTTCTCATCAGGAAAAAAACACAGTGGAAGATGTTAGGGTTTTTTTTCCTTAAGCCTGACATTGCTTTATGATGGTGAGAGGAAAAAACAAACCCCAAACCTCTAGCCCCAGAGCCTGAACCTCACAAGGGTACTGCCAAAGCCATTCTTTGTTGAATGAATGACACTGAACTCCAGCCCTGGGCTGAGCTGGGTCAGATACCTCCTTCATAGTGTCTGTCTGAACACTGCCTGTGAGCCCTTTGGTTCTGCACTTAAACCAAAGGAGAAAGGGGCGTAAAACTTCGTGTGACATCTGCTTTGGTGAGCACCGGGGTCCAGGCTTTACCTACAAATCGGGCCAACTTGTGGATGAGGCAGTAGTCTTTGAGGCTGGTGGTTGCTCAGGACAAGTGCTGTGGGGGCTCGGGTGGGCTGTTGGCCAAGTCCAAGTCTCACTTCTCAGCTGCTGCTTGCACTGCCATGGCACTCATCTGCGATCTGTAACCTCGCTGCATGCCAGTGTCCATGTGCCTCCCAGCTCTGTACCACTGGATCGTGCCACCTCTGTGATGAGTTCCAATGTCACCTCTCCTCCTCTGTTACTCTTCATCAGCTATGTAATTTTGGCTGGAAACAGCTAGAATTTTATGCAAAATGGAATAAAATTTAAGGAAACAAAATGGAAGCAGGCTTCAAGTGCGTGCATGGGTTGTAGGTACTTGTCTGCTGGGCGCTGATTGAGGGGCTTGGATGGGAGGAGGTCATCACCCCCCCTGTGGTGCTTTTTCATGGACAGGGAGTTCCAGGCTCTGCCTCAGTCTGTGCTGGTGCCCTGCACTGGGGCAAGGGCAGAAGTCCCCATTCCATGTCCACAGCCTCTGCCTCAGTTTCAGCCGGGTCTCCAGCTGCCATTGGTCTACTCGGGCTCATGGAAAGAGTCCTCAAACCCCCACCCACAGGACCAACTCCAGGGAGAGTCAAGCACCCGCTGCCAGGAGCCAAGC